AGGACCACGTCTCAGTTCCATAAGTCATCACTGGCAACACGCACTGGTTGTACAATATCGTTTTCAGGTTTTGAGGTATGTCTGACGAGAAGATGTGTCGTAGCTTCCCGAACGCTGCCCAGCCGAGTTGAATCCGTCGATTGACCTCTCGGTCGAAGTTGGACTTACCTAGTCGGACTATTTGTCCCAGGTAAACATACTCGTCAACAACTTCGAGCTTAGTGCTCCCAACAACTACCGGCATAGGTGTGACATGGACATTGAACATGATCTTTGTTTTGTCCATGTTCATCTTAAGACCTATCCGTTCGGAAACACTATTGAGGTCATTGAGCATAGTGCTTAGGTCCTCCAGCGATTCTGCCATAAGGACTATATCGTCGGCAAATCGAAGGTGAGTGATGTACTCGCCATTGATGTTGATACCGTATCCTTTCCAGTCCAGAAGCTTGAAAACGTCTTCCAATGCAGCGGTGAAGAGTTTCGGGGATATGACGTCACCCTGTCTTACACCTCTCTGCAATTGGATAGGTTTCGTACTCTGGTTCTGTACTCGGATAGCCATCGTAGCCCTACTATACAAGCACTTCAACACTTCGATATACCGACAGTCAACTTGGCACCGCTGAAGGGACTGCAGCACCGCCCAAATTTCGACGGAATCAAAGGCTTTCTCATAGTCCACATACGCCAGACATAGTGGCAAATTGTACTCTTCGGACTTCTGTACAATTTGCCGAAGGGTATGTATGTGGTCTATGGTGCTAAAGCCCTTTCGGAAACCGGCTTGTTCGGGAGGCTGTAAGTCGTCAAGTCTGCGCGCGAGACGATTCGTAATGACTCTCGAAAACAGCACGTAGACGCGGCTCAGAAGGGAAATCGGTCTGTAGTTCTTCAAGAGAGCGTTGTCACCTTTCTTGAAGAACAAGACCATCGCACTTCTGCTCCACGCCCCCGGTGTAATGCCACCATGGAGGACGGAATTAAAGAGCTTCTGAAGGACTTCAAGTACCGGTCTTCCACCCGCTTTCAGAAGCTCCGCTGTAATTCCATCCTCGCCTGGGGCCTTACCGTTTTTAAGGTGCTGGAAAGCCATTCTAATCTCGCTCAGACTGACGTCCGGGATATCTTCGGAGTAGTGTCGGATGAGACTCGCTCTTGGATCGTTACTCACACTTGCGTGTGGCTCCAACGATGACGTGTACAGCTGCCCATAGAACCTCTCAATCTCACTCAAAATCTCAGGTGTCCCGGAAACGATGCTGCCACATCCTGTCTTCAGCTTTGACAGGTGGGTCTTTCTGGCAGACAGATCTCTGGCAAAGACTTTGGAGCCTTGGTTCCGCTCGATCGCTTCTTCAATACGAGCTGTATTGAAGTTGCGTAAGTCCCGCCGCATGCATTTGGAGATCTGTCTGTTCAGATGCCTGTATGCTGTCAAATCTGTTGAAGAATGTAGCTTCATCTCCCGTCTAACAGCCATGAGATTAAGAGTGTGATCGGAGAGTTTTTGTGTTCTTCTGCGGCGGGTCTTGCAGAACTTAGCTCCGACCGCATGGACAGTTTCCACGAACTTGTCATTCATATCGTCCACTTCATTGCAGTCTTCTAGGCACTGAAAACGGTTTTGTAACTCGAGCTGAAAGGTTTCGGGACTTTGGAACAGAGCACGAGGGGGACGGAGCGTTGACTTCATTAGACGAGACCTCTCCAACTTAACGTTTAGGTTCAGTGTGCCTCTAACCATTCGGTGATCGCTACCAAATGATAATGATGATTAATAGAAAAACGAATTCTTGTTAAAAATTATTGTGCCATCTTTATTTTTGACCTATATTATAATTAATTTAAACTTATTGTTGCACCAATTCGATTTCTAATTTTAGACGGAAGTATTTTTGTTTAATATATTTTAAATTTTGGTTTAAGAAATTATTGTGACACGATTTAAATAAAACAAAATGTGCATATAATTGTGTAGACACATACGAAGTAAAACTGATTTACGACATATCATTCTTCGTTTATTTTATATTTTACATATAAGTAGGTTATATAAGGCAAACGCAAATAAACGTTACAAGTAAACGTGACATTTTTTTAATACCTTACTAAATTTCTCCACTACGTCGATAAGGACATTTAACTTCAAAAATTAAGTAAACTACGTAATCAAGGATTTTGACAACCCTAACACACATTTTGAAGTTTGTATGAAAAATTGAATAATGAGTGAGCAACTTTGCCACTAGCTTAAATTGTGTCACTTACAACACAATTAGAGGAGAAAATCATAACTCTGATTGTTGTGTTATATTTTGTAGTAAACTTACCTTCATCCTTGAAGTCAAATTCTATTATTGTCATTAAAAACCCCAATGGCAAAGTTGCTATAAAGTGAGGTTAATTTTGTATATGTCTATTTAATGTTAGTATTTGTTTAAATTACTAATAGACGTATGTATAAAAATACGAGTATTGTTGCGCGCCACTATTAATGTCTTGTACATGGCAACACTAGTTACACTAGCGCCCTCTAGTGTCGAGTAGCAGAACTAGGAGAGTCGAGATCCTTCCAGAAATTTCGGGATCGATATGTACTCGAACATTCTAGATGTCACTACAGTAGAAGGTTCTGGAAACTATCTGAGGCCCTATATAAGGCCGGTATAGACCACGACCGGGGCAGTATTGAATTGGCGATACAAGAGAATACTTCGAAGCGAAATAACGGCGAACTGTGTTTTATTATTAGTGTGATTTTAGATTGTAATTAGTGTTGTGTAATTAAAGTGTCATTTTGGTAATTCAATCGGCAGTTTTTTATTGTCTCGAACCCCAAGCTCGTAACAATTGGTGTCAGAAGTGGGATCAAATATGCCGATTTTACATAAAGACGACACGGAGGGTATCCGTACCCGAAGTCAACGCCAACAGGAGACGGACCAGAGAGGATTTGGTAATGCAACGCCGCAAACGTCGGAGGGGCAGCTGCTAACCACGGAGGCCGGCCCGTCAGCAGCTCCTGCATCTGCAGCACCTGACTTAGGTGCTCTGATGATGATGCTGCAGGATCAGGCTCGCCGACAGGAGGAACAGGCCCACCGACAAGAGGGACAGACCCGTCGGTTGGAAGAGCAGCTGCAGCGCGGTATGGAAGAACAGATGCTCCTCAGGAAGGACCTTCACGCTACCTTCGGGAAAGAGATAAAGGAGGTGAAGGACAGGGTTGCTCAACATGACAACCGCCTGTCGGAATCTGAAACCCGAATCGACCAAGTAAAGAAAACGCTGGACGACCTCAAACTTGGGGATGGAATTACAGTTCCCATGGTAGCTACAACACCTTCGCTACGTGGATTCAAAGTGCCGCCGTTCGACAAGAGTTCTTCCTGGTCGGCCTACAAAATCCAGTTCGAGGCTGTCATGAAAGCGAACGGCTGGAATAAAAGTCAGGCCATGACTGCTCTCACCCTAGGCCTACGCGACCAGGCCTTAACTGTTCTGGAAGCTCTCGGTAAGGAAGTGACTTACGAGCAGCTCCTTGAGGCATTGGAGGCGAGATATGGCGATGCTCACCTGGAACACGTCTTTCGTGCGCAGCTCAAAGATCGCGTGCAACGCAGTATAGAAAACCTGCAGCAGTGGGCCCTTGAGGTGGAGAAGCTGGTTCGAAAAGCGTACCAGTCTGTACCTGCACTCATTGTGGGGAACCTGGTGCAGACATTCATCGAAGGCATCCGCGACCGTGAAGTCAGAGCTGCTGTGAGGCTCGGGCACCACGAGACGCTCAAGGACGCCTTGACCCATGCACTGGAGGTGGAAGCCGTGTGGCAGGATCATCGTTCCCACCGCGTCAGGGAGGTTGCAGCAGCTATAGTTCAGGACCGCAAATAGGGCTACATCCCTAGGTGCTACGGCTGTGGGGAAAGGGGCCATCTTCGATCCAGCTGATCGATCTCGAGAGGGTAGTGCGGATAATAGCACCGCCTAGCAGCAGCAGGGAAACGAGTAAAAGCCAGGACTGCGGGGCGGGTGCTGGCTGATGTTAAAAGAGTCCCAAGGATTTCGATCTCACAAACCCATGATGGGAACAGCCTAATCATCAAGGGCGAAGTCAACGGAACGCCGTGTAAACTGACCATAGACACGGGAGCCTCTCGCACGGTTGTCAGTTCCCAACTTATAAGTCGGTTCCTTGGGGACTCCGCATATAACCGAGAACGCATTAATTTGGTGACAGCCACCGGTCAGCGTATACCCGTCCGTGGAGAGAAGGAGATGGAGTTGAAGCTAGGCAACATGATCTACCTGCATAATGTCATCGTGGCTGATATAATGGACGACTGCATCCTGCGCCTAGACTTTATGAGGAAGAATTGTTGTGAGATCGACGTTAAGCAAGGTGTTTTGAAATGTGGACAAGAGGAACTTTTCGTGGAAGGGGCGTTACCAGGGAATGTGTACAGCCTTAAGAAGATTGTTCTTCCGCCGAGATCGGAAACGATTGTGCCAGTTAGACTTCCACGGAATCCTGGGCAAACTCTTCGTTGTGTACTCGTGGAAAGGGTAGACAATGCAAACAAAAAAACCTACCATGAAAAGTGGCTCGAACCTTGGTCAGAACCGCCGACATCTCAGGAGTACGTGTGCTGAACCTTTGTGATCAGGAACAGATTATAGAAAAAGGCACATTGGTTGGTACTATTGAGGAAGTGGATTGGTTGCGTCGGTGCGAATATCTATCGACTGGGACCCCCAGCAAGGATGGACAAACTAGAGTGACCACACTTTTAGAAGACTGTCGCAGCGTTCTCTCCCCGAATGAAACGGTCGAAGCGATGAAGTTGTTACTCAAGTACTCCAATGTTTTCTCGTCAAACGAAGCTGACATAGGAAAGACTGGCTTGGTTCAACACAAAATAAACACAGGACAAGAATTGCCTATTCGTCAGCGGCCAAGAAGATTGCCTGTAGCACGTGAAAAGGAAGTGGAAACCATGATTGAGGGAATGGTGAAGGATGGTGTTATTGAACCTTCATCTAGTCCATGGTGTTCACCTGTGGTGCTGGTAAAGAAGAAGGACGGCAGCATGCGGTTTTGTGTTGACTACCGCCGCCTGAACGATGTTACAAAGAAGGACAGCTATCCCTTGCCAAGAATTGATGACACGCTGGACATACTTACAGGCGTAAAGAGGTTTAGTACGCTGGATCTGAAAGTGGCTACTGGCAGGTTGAAATTGACCCTAAGGACAAGGAGAAAACTGCATTCTCCACAGGAATGGGCCTGTGGCAATTTAAAGTCATGCCGTTAGGATTGTGCAATGCTCCAGCTTTGTTTGAAAAGTTGATGGAGCTTGTACTTACCGGGCTAATTGGAGATGCCTGTCTCGTCTATTTGGATGACATCATCATCGTAGGCCGTACGTTTGAGGAACACCTTCAAAACCTGGAACGCGTGCTCATGAAGATCCAGAGTGCCAACCTCAAGTTGAGTCCAAAGAAGTGCTCACTATTCAAACGGCAAGTTAGTTTTTTGGGGTATGTAGTGTCGGAAGAAGGTATCCGCACGGATCCAGAGAAAATTGCTGCTGTCAAGGAGTGGCCGGTCCCAAAAGACAAGACACAGGTTAGAGCATTTTTGGGTTTGTGCTCTTATTATCGGCGATTTGTGAAGAACTTTGCAGATATAGCCAAACCTCTGCACAAGCTAACCGAGGAGAAGCGACAATTCTGCTGGGATGAAAGTTGCGATTTGCATTCCAGGAGCTCAAGAACCGTCTGTGCAAAACACCTATTTTGGGGTACCCTGATACGGGCAAGGAATTCATAGTTGACACAGACGCAAGTGATATTGGAAATGGCGGTGTGTTGTCTCAACGGAATGGTGATCAAGAGATTGTGATAGCGTACTTCATCAAGTCGTTGTCAAAGCCGGAAAGGAACTATTGTGTCACAAGACGGGAATTGCTTGCTGTGGTAAAGTCCTTGCAGCATTTTAGCAAATATCTTCTAGGGCGGAAATTCCACTTACGAACTGACCATGCTGCACTGAAATGGCTATTGCAGTTCAAAAATCCGGAAGGACAAGTTGCGAGATAGATTGAACTACTGCAGGAATACGACTTTGTGATCGAACATCGCAGCGGGAAATCTCATGGCAATGCAGATGCATTGTCAAGAAGACCTTGCCCTGAATAGTGCAAGCATTGTACTAGGCAAGAGGGTAAGGAAGTGGTATCTGTGAGAATGCTCAGGGCAGACCAGCTCAGCAATGAGTGGAAGGACAGCCTACAACATGCACAGCAGGAAGATTCGGACATTAAGCCGATTCTGGAATGGATGAAGGCCAGTGCTCCTAAGCCCAAGTGGAGCGACGTCTCAGCAATGAGTTCGACCACGAAAAGCTATTGGGCCCAATGGGACAGCTTGCTGGTTCAGGATGGAGTCCTGTGCCGTAAATGAGAAAATGGTCGGGGAGACAGCTGTCATTTGCAAATGGTTGTCCCTAAGGCTAAAGTACCGGATGTTCTACAGCTGTACCATAGTGGTTGTTCAGGAGGCCACCTGGGAGTTAAACGAACTCTACTGAAGATCCGAGAACGGTTTTACTGGGTCCATTGTCGTGACGATGTCGAGACCTGGTGGCGCAAATGTAAAAGTTGCGCGGCTGTAAAGGGACCTCAAATTCGTAGTAGAGGCGCATTGAAATTGTACAATGTTGGTGCACCATGGGAGAGGATAGCCATTAACGTTGCGGGGCCGTTTCCGGGAAGTGAAAGTGGTAACAAGTATTTCATGGTTGTGATGGATTACTTCACTAAGTGGCCAGAAGTCTTCGCCATTCCAAATCAAGAAGCTTCAACAGTTGCAGATAAACTAGTTCATGAAGTCTTCTGTCGTTTTGGAGTACCCTTAGAGATTCACAGCAATCAAGGAAGGAATTTCGAGTCTCAAATATTCCAGGAAACTTGCAGAGTTATGGGTACTCATAAAACACGAACAACTTCTTACCACCCATAATCTGATGGAATGGTAGAACGATTTAATCAGACATTTGAAAGGTACCTGGCAAAAGTTATGGAAAAACGGCAACGAGACTGGGACAGGCACATACAACCGTTTTTGTTGTCATATCGAAGCGCTGTTCACGAAAGTACATCAGTGACGACAGCTTTCGCAAACTTTGGGAGAGAATTACGGCTGCCTGCAGACCTGATCACCGGAATACCACCTGATGCCCCACGCAGTATAACCGATTATGCAAATGACTTGCGGAACAAAATGAATGACATTTATGAGCACGTCAGACAGACGGGCCAGCAAACGTCTGAGAAGATGAAAACACGGTATGACCGCAAAATGAACAACAAGGGGTTTGATGAAGGTTCACTAGTGTGGTTACACAATCCAGTTCGCAGCAAAGGGAAATCTCCTAAGCTTCAAGCTAAATGGGACGGACCGTACCGGATTGTGACAAGGATCAATGATGCAACCTACCGGATACAGAAAGGTGCCAGAGGTACTCCCAAGATTGTCCATGTGGATCGACTGGCGCGTTATTACGGGGCCAGTAATGCTCGGGACGAGCATGTCTTAGGAGGGGGCAGTGTTGCGCGCCACTATTAATGTCTTGTACATGGCATACTAGTTACACTAGCGCCCTCTAGTGTCGAGTAGCAGAACTAGGAGAGTCGAGATCCTTCCAGAAATTTCGGGATCGATATGTACTCGGACATTCTAGATGTCGCTACAGTAGAAGGTTCTGGAAACTATCTGAGGCCCTATATAAGGCCGGTATAGACCACGACCGGGGCAGTATTGAATTGGCGATACAAGAGAATACTTCGAAGCGAAGTAACGGCGAACTGTGTTTTATTATTAGTGTGATTTTAGATTGTAATTAGTGTTGTGTAATTAAAGTGTCATTTTGGTAATTCAATCGGCAGTTTTTTATTGTCTCGAACCCCAAGCTCGTAACAATATCTATGAAGAATATAAAGTCACTTTTAACATTGACGCCAAGTCTGAAAGGTACTATTCATGGAAAATTGGTCCTAAACTTTTAAGTCCTTTCAAAGATTGCTTTCATTGTACGCTTAAATACTCTATTTCAATTAAGACCCTGACAATTTCCGAAAAGAAATCCGTATAGAGTGTTACATATCAAAATAAATATGTAACACTCTTTTTAAGACTGCACCTTTATTACTTTCTCTAAAATTATTTGTTTTTATTAAAGCATAATATCATAGTCCACTACCGAACATAGGCCTCCCTCATAGATTGGCTCACAGGGAGATATTTACCATTGTTACCACGCTTAGTAGTATGTTTCTTTTTATTTGCTAGTTGTTATTAGAAAGCTACACATCTCATGGTTGGTCTCCGTCTGTCGCCTCTTAGGGGACGATATGGGGTTGTAGATATTCTTACACCGCCACTACACTTAAATCTTTCTATTTTTGGAATTATATAATAAAAACTATAAAAACAATATCGTTTTTCTACTTATGATAAAGTATTATTCTATTTAAGTCAGTACTCTTTGAAACGATAGGGTGACAAACGAGCACAAACTCCACCTGATGGTGAGTGGTTGCTGTGACCCAAAGACATCTACATTTATCCTTAATAAAGAATCAAAATGCAGATGCGTCGTCATCCGTGAAGACAAAGATGTAATGCCTCTTTTCTAGTAAAATCGGTCTCCGGTTCTCTACACTCACCTTGCGAAACACAGCAGTATCAAGCTGCCATTTTACACTGGTATTCTGTGAGAGCGTGGTCCTTCCCCGGACTAGCCGACCCATTCGTGCTACAACTATACTACTAATATAGCTGCAGCATGACTCTACCACGTAAAAACTTCTTCTTCTTACTTCTAAAAAAAAATTGGAAAATCTGTTACTATTATAACGTAACAGATTTATTATATACTATACACATTTAATCGTCATAACTTATCATTTGTTTAAACAAGTCTTGTGAATGTAATATTATATTTATCTATGCACTTTGAATGCATTGGCTTCCGCATTCTCTCCGTTGTTTGTTTTAAAATATTGAGATAAGAGCAATACACGAGATAACATAGCCTTATAACATTCTTGTTTAGACTTTAGAGATTATTTTACAAAGAACTTTGTTTCCTGTGTTCGTTCAACTATTTTGCATAGTTTGCTGCTATACTGATTCTTAAATTGGGTAATTTTCTTTTGTGTTCAGAAAAGTATGGTTTGATGTCGACCCCAAGAGCATTCTTAACGTTATCGTGTAATATTCAGCTTGATTTTAACCTATGCATGTTCTTTGAAGATTATTACTAAAAGTGTAAAAAGATTTTAAGTTTTGGTAATATGAAATGGATTATTAGCTTTTTTTCTACTTGCGACAAAATTATTTTACAATTTAGGCGAATCCTGCCTACAACAGAAGAGGCCCATATCCAACAATGGACTTTATAGAGCTGATGAAAAAGAAAAAGAACCTTTTAATTAGGGAGACAACTTTGATGTGACTTTATGTGCTTTTTTTTGTTGGGATTCGAACACACCATATACCTTTTTTTTATAGGATAAGGGTGACAAACGAGCACACAGTCCACCTGATGGTAAGTGGTTGCTGCGGCCCATAGACATCTACATCTATCCTCTATTACAAATCAAAATGTAGATGCGTTGTCGCCCGTGAGGACTAAAATGGAATGCCTCATTCCCAGTAAAAAGGGCCTCCGGCCACCTGCATTCACCGAGCGAAACACAGAGGTAAACCTCTACTTCACGCTGGTTTTCTATGAGGTCGTGGTACCACCCCGGTTCGAGCCGGCCCATCCGTGCGACAGCAAAAGCTGCCGCGTGGCTCTACCACTGTTAAATAATACGCCAAATAATATAATAGTTATTTTGAGATTTTATTTAAAGAATAAACAGTCAAGAGTGACACCTATCGGTAAATATTAAAACTAAATCTAGGACCAACTAAAATTATTATTACGATATTCAATCGATAGTTATGCAATAAACATTCCTTTTAATTTAAATACATATGATATAAATGAAATTTCATAAACGATATTTTCAAAGGAAACGTAAAACTTTTGTTAAAATATGTGGTGTTTTTCTAATTCTAAGAATTCCTTCATCGAATAATAATAATGTATACATTAGTAAGGTATACCATCGTAACAATGTCTTAAAAATGAGTAACACACAAAAGAAAACCTTTGTTTGGTAAATTAATTACAAACATGGTAAAAAAATTAAAAACAGTATTTAAACGATATAAAATATCATTAGTTTGTTAAGTACAAAAAGGGTTAGCACTATTATCACCAGTTTTTTTAAAAATAAATGTTAAAATTTTCTTACTCCACTGCTTTTTGTTGTTGAGTAGTAAACAAAGTAAAAAAAACAATACGACTTAAATATCTGTTCACCTTGTAGTAACCTTCTGTCAATGTTACGTAATCCACAAAATATTCCACAACCATAATAAGCTACATAATACACTCACATAACCAAATATATCTTTTATAATAACATTTATTGCAAAAGCTAACGAATTAATTTTAAACTAATTATAAACGAAAATTAAAATCCTTTAAGCTTCTAAGCGCCTTGAATTGTTGATGCAAGAATATTCGAAATGAACAGAAGGCAGGCTTAAACTTTTCTTAAGAACTCTTATCTTTCTTCTTTCATCTTTAATTCGTCGTTCGTTAATTTTATTATTTATAATGTATTATTTTTAAATTGCACTAGAATTTTCTCCTCTATCGTGAAGGCAGTGTGCAAATGCAGATGGCAATGCAGTAATTGTTGTTGCTCTATCTTTAGAGATCACCGTGGTCCTATTCTATACATCCTATACCGTGGTGCCCAGGAATTTGACATTGGCACCTGAGACTATTTCTCATTGCTTCCTTATGGCGAGGATTTATTGTCTTATTTTGAATCTTTGTCTTGTGATTAAATCATAACTTACTTATGTTATTATATCATTATATATATATATATATATATATATATATATATATATATATATATATATATATATATATATATAGAACCTTTCACGGTAAATGTTGCTCCAGTGAGAAG